CTTCGTAGTATTAGTCTTTAGTAGTAGCGATAATAGTAGTAGTAGCAATAGCAGTAGTAGTGGTACTCGTAGTAGTGGCAGTAGTGGTAGTAATATTAATAGAAGAAGTAGTGGTAGTAGTAGTAATATAATTAATAGTAGTAGTAGTAGTGATGGTAGTAATAGTAGTAATAGCAGAAGTAGAAATAGTAGCAGTACAAGTAGTAGTAGTAATAGTAATAGTAGTAGTAATAGGAGCAGTAGTAGTGGTAGTATTGGTAGTTCTATGACAAACCAACAGCGTTTCTCTTTTACACAATAAGCAAGTTATACACCAATAATGCGTGCAGGAGAAACTAGCAGTCGAAATACTTTTGCGGAGTTAGCTAAGGTCGGGATAACACTCAGGTACACATTTTTCTGTCTGTTTATGTGACTCTGCCTCGCTCTTCTCTATCTCTCACTGTCACTGTCTGTCTCTCACGAGTTCCTCATCAGACAAGTAATTAACCGAAATGGATCCATTTCAGTTAATCACTCGTCTGATGAGGAACTAGTGAAGAGTTCGAATCGTTACAATAAATTTAATTTCTTAGTGTGGCTGTTCTCCTTCGTCTTTCTGTATACGTTACTGCGTTTGTGTTCACACACACATGCACACACACACGCACGCACGCACACACACACACACACACACACACACACACACACACACACACACACACACATATATATATATACATGCATATGCATAAATACACAAACACACATACACATACACATGTATATGCATAAATAACAAACACACACATACACACATATATATATATATATACATAGATATGAGAGTGCATGTGCGTGTGTGTGTGTCTGTGTGTGTATGTATGTATTTATGTAGGTATGTACACTCGCGTGTCTGTGTAGAGACGGAGACAGCTGATAAGTAGGTATAGACATATAACTGCATAATTATACAACTAAAACCTTATCGAAGGACGTAAAATATAGAACATAGGTAAAAATGCGTGAATGATGCTCCGAACACCAATATAACGAGATTACAATTTGTCAAGTCCAATAGCGGTGGATAAAAGCCTCCGTGAAAGTTTGAGAGAGAGAGATAGAGAAAGAGAGAGAGAGAGAGAGAGAGAGAGAGAGAGAGAGAGAGAGAGAGAGAGAGAGAGAGAGAGAGAGAGAGAGAGAGAGAGAGGGGGGGGGGTATATATAATATATATATGTATATATATGAATATATAAATATATATATGAGTATATAAATATATATATGAGTATATAAATATATATATGAGTATATAAATATATATATATGTATTTATACACATATATACATACACACACACACACACATACATATATATATATATATATATATATATATATATATATATATATATATGAGAGAATGAGAGAGAGATAGAGAGATAGATAGAGAGATAGATAGAGAGATAGATAGAGAGATAGAGAGAGAGATAGATAAAGAGATAAAGAGAGAGAAAGAGAGAGAGAAAGAGAGAGAGAGAAAGAGAGAAAGAGAGAAAGAGAGAAAGAGAGAAAGAGAGAGAGAGAGAAAGAGAGAGAGAGAGAGAGAGAGAGAGAGAGAGAGAGAGAGAGAGAGAGAGAGAGAGAGAGAGAGAGAGAGAGAGAGAACGAGAGAGAGAGAGAGAGAGAGAGAGAGAGAGAGAGAGAGAGAGAGAGAGAGAGAGAGAGAGAGAGAGAGAGAGAGAGAGAGAGAGAGAGAGAGAGACGTGTGTTTGTAAGGCAGAAAAAGAAAGAAAAAAGATAAACAAAGGAAACTAGAGAACAACCAATTCGCCGGTCTCCTGTCCCTCCCTCAGGTGCTGCGAGCTAGTTGGTTGCTGTTGGCGTTGTGGGCGTGGTCGGGCAAGTGGGCGGCGACTGCCAGTGACGCAAGATGTGACGTCGAGGCGCTCAGGTGTGACGTCATCTGTTCCTTCCCTGACCTGACGACGCATTGCAACCGCTGCGTCAGGAGGTGAGAACTGCCAGAGGCGTTTCGATGCCTAGCTATGCGAAGGGGTGCCCACTGAGACATGAATATTTTCTGTTATCCCACAAAAATGGCTGAATGTATACATTTATGTATAATATACTATTTATATGTCTTCTTATACTAACCATCTCTCGCTTTTTCTTTCTGTCTGTCCGTTTATCAACCATTCATGTGTCTTTCTACCTACCTATCCCTGTTTCTATCTATCTCTCCACCTGCTAACACCTGCCTTCCCCAGACGCCCCATGAGGTTCGGCAAGAGATCGGACGGGAAGCTGTCGGCGTTCTCTCGCGTCCCGAAGGAGGCGCTGTCGGCGGCGCCCGCAGCCTCGACTCTCCCTCGGACTCCGCTGGCTTTCCCGAAGGCCACGGAGACGCCGCGGGTTTTCCTGTCGCAGGCACAGAGGCCGGCCTCGTTGGACCGTCTCGAGGCCGAGCCCAAATACCTCTCGGCCTTGATCCTCACGCCCGAGTCTCACCCTCGCGTGCTGGAGGACTTCGAGGGGGCCGGACCCGGAATCGAGTACGAGGACGACCTCCGGAGACGACGCCGAAGGAGGAACGCGTCCCAGCGCCTCGAAGACGCGGCTCCCCGGCCCTTCCGCAGCGCGAGGCTCTCCGGAAACGCGCCTCGAGGGCTCACGCGGAGGAAGAGATCGACCGTCTACGAAATTATCGAGAGCCTCATGGAGCTCCTCGGGCTGGAGACGCTGCCGGTGGACCCTCGCTTCTACGGCTGCCACGAGCTCGTGCTGCCCTTCTACAACTAGGCCGAGGGGCCCTCCCTTCTGCAACAGGGACGCAAGGCTGGTTTTCCCTTCTGCAACAGAGACGCAAGACTGGTTTTCCCTTCTGCAGCAAAGAACGGCCAAATAATAATCGTAGAAACTACAAAATATATAGTACATGGAAAGAAGAAAAGTACATGATATAATGTGTACATATATTATTTTGCAAGCAAAAAGGGAGAGTCAGAGAGAGAGAAAAAAAAACACAGAAGATGCGTATTGATGTATATTTTTTATCGTATTCATTGTCTTTATTATGCGCATGAATATATTGCATTTATCTGATAATGCATACATAGAAAATCATTATGAATAAATTAAATGCAATACAATGAATGGCCCAAATAAACAAATTTAAAGAAGATTCATTTTCTAAAACTGATCTTGGTGACAATAGGTCTTCTTACAGAAATTCATTCTTTACGTATACACTCTGAAGCACATACAGATATGTGTAAGCAAATAAGATTTTTAAAAAATACCGAGATCTGGAGGCTGGAAAGAAAATGAATTTTCTTTACTCGTTTGCAACTCGGAAAACAGATGAAGATAAGACAGAGATAAAGAATAAAGATAGAATATAATTATGAAATGATTTAAAGATAAATATACCACAAGGGAAATCCACCGATGAAATGAGATGAAAACATATCAAATCAACGTTTTTTTTTACGTTTCATCATCAAGCTAAATAAAAGGGTGGATAGAATATTCTTTATTGATAAAATCTCATATTTTATATGACTTGTAACATGTTACTTGTATATCATATTATATCAATAAAGAGCACATAAAAATGACTTTCCTTTTGATGAAAAAACTAATGTTCTTTATACTCATCATCCCTTCCCTACGTCTCCATCACAAAATAAAGCAACATTGATGATATTATTATTATCACTACGACTACTGAAAATGATGATAATGATAACAGTTATCATTATCATCATTGCCGTTACCAATATCGCTACTACTATTGCTACTACTACCATTATCAATTGGCTATTGTCACTACTACTATCATCGTTGTTGCTGCTATTATTGTTACTATTTCTACTACAACTATTAATGATAACGACAACAACAACAATGATAATAATGATGATGATGATGATGATGATGACGATGATGATGATGATAATAATAATGGTGATAACAACAACAACAACAATAATACTAATACTAATAATAATAATAATATTAATAATAATAATGATGATAACAACAACAACAACAACAATAATAATAATAATAATAATAATAATAAAGATAATAATGTTGATGCTGACACTGCTATTGCTGCTACTACTACTTATATTACTACCGATTCTACTACTACTACTGCTGTTGCTGCTGCTAATACTATTATTGCTTTCAATACTAGCTGCTACTGCTACTTTCACTACTACTACTACTACTACAACTTTTACTACTATTACTATCACTGACGCTGCTACGATAATTACTAACATTATTCCTAGTGTTATTTTTACAACATTTATCTTCCGCCAAAGTTTGAATTTTTCTGTTTTGTTCCGAAAATCTCTAAATCCAAGAAAAAAAGACTTGTATTTCGGTATTTCAGTCTTTATAAATAATGCGGTATTTGTGTTATATGAACATGCGTAAATAGACCAAAAAACATGGATTTTTAAGAATGCGTACGCACGTCGCATAAAAAAATATTTGCGTTTTATTTAGAGGTGTATTTAATATAATTACTTATAAAATGGGTAACTACTTGAATACACAAACGAGAGCATTTTCGAGCAAAAGGGAAACAATCTTTTTTTCAAGAATGGCTTGTTTGCCTTCGACTGTGACTATAAGTGAGACTGGAAACTTTTTTGCATCTCTGACCTTCCCGTTTAGGGTAAGGTTGCGTAAAACCGATAGATGGCGGGAGAGAAGTCTTCGTTTTTAAATCACTATTTTTGCCGCGAAATACGTATATTCGAGTAACCTAATTAGTGTTATATCACATCGACAAGCTATCTGAAAGAACCCATAAAGAAATAACAATAAAATAACACCAAATACCATACATCATAAAATCGAACTTAATGTTGCGTCAGCACAATAGATGGCACTGAGGACAACCTTAGCGTTCGCATCTTCTTTTTTCGAACGATATTAATAAGAAGTTGTGTGTCTTTCATCCCTCTCCTTAGTGGCTTATGGCTGGAAAACTAAGCAAGGTTAGCTGGCTTGACCTCGTCTCGTGAGGTCAGTTGTTACCTTACTCTCTTCAAGGCGCTGGTGTGTCTCTTAATTTTCGTGTGGTAGAAAAAATTATTTGGAAGAAGCAGTTCTCCAGATTTATTTTTATACGGTTGGTGCTCAAGGATTATTGAACCAGGTATGTATTTTGTTTAAGAAGTTTTGATAACGGAATTTTTTTATTTTATTTTATTCATGGTCATGTTATAGCATATGGCCTTATACTTTTTCTTTCATGAAGACGTCAATGTGGAACAAACTCAAGCCTGTAACTTACAAATGGCAGTACAAATTGTAGTATATCTAAAAATTCCGACCTTCATCACAAGGTTTACGGTAAATAGCGTCGATAGGTGATGAATTTTAAAGCTTCTCTTTACACGTATACTAGTTGGCTTGTATTCGTAGCAAATATTTTTTAATGGGAAAATTTAATAAATGAAATAAACAAGCCGCCTAAGCTCTACTTTGCAAACAATACCTTCCATGGAAACTGTTAGCCTTTGCACAAGCGCCAAACTGCGCGTAGGTCATGTCAGAAATTTGATTAAAGTACTGTAGATAGGAAGATTTTGGTCCGTACGGCAAAGTTTGTGGATTTCCCAGAAATGGCTGGAGTAATATGGACTCTATCTCAATATATTTACTCGTATTACAGCGTCGATAATTGCAAAAAAATGAATAATCACTGCAAGATTGAATGGCTGTGTGAAAAAATGATTTCCTATATATATCAAATGAAATCCCTGGTCTTGTCTCCCATCCCGAGACACGGTCCATCGTTTCCTCCGTCATGAACACCACCTAACTACGACAGTTGTAGGACAGTTGTAGTAAAGCTTCAGTATAATTTAAAACGGTAAAAAAAAAAAAAAAATGTATATCGGTGCACATAAAGGGTTTGATGCCGACTGTAAAACCTTAAAGGAACCGCTAATGTGGGAGGGTTGACATGCATGACTGGCTTGTTGTAGGAGTCGAACCACTCGGCGATTAGTTTCATAACGCCGAACTATGACCTTCAGACACAGGCAAGAAGTTTACGAGCTGAGGGTAACGGCGTCATCGATATTGCTCCCCGCTTCATAATCTCCGTCCATTCGAAACTTAACACTGTACATGGCGTTTTTTTTTACTCGTTTTTTTTGGCATTCTAAGCATTGTTTGAGGGCCATCGTTCCTTTGAAAACAAATAATCGAAGATTGCTCTGACAAGTTTTATTCCAAATATCCTTAAAGTACTTAATATGCTGGCATGAGTTTTAACTAGGATAAACAAATGAAGGCTTTTAATGGAAATTACCAGACTGTTGTGCGAATTACGATGTTTATGCTCGCCGCTCTTTGCTTAGCGAATCTGACTCGCAAATCCTGCTTCGGCCAGACTTTTCTTTTCTCTCCCATTCACCTTTTTTACATCCGCAGTTCGTCACATGGAAGTAAAAGTATTGTTTTAAGTTTTATGTTATCGTATCCATCCCGAGTGAGCTCCATGTAATTGCTTGTCTTAGGTCCTTTTAACGTAATATATTATCAAATCGATGATTGAGTCGGAAATTCTTACCATGATTCAAGAGCTGCTAAATATTCACTTCTTATTTTAACCATATGAAGAACGTGTACTCAAATTACAAACTATGCGTCTTTGTTTTCATATCGAGAGATGCAAGATACGATTCACGACTAATAAATATAAATCCCCAACCAAGACCTTCGTGAAATGCATTGCAGTCTCACTATGATTGGCCCGGAGTATACCCCTTCGTGCCAAGGTACATTCAGAACTAATAGTAGTTTCAATGGGTTCCAGTAAAGAGCTTGTAAAGGGTTAACATGTTTCAGGGAGTTTGGAGATGCTACAAAAAAGCTATTACAACTGTTCGTAATATCCCGCAGGTTGGCAATCTTCGACATGCATTTGATAGCAGGGCTACCATTAGGTGGCATTTTTCATTGTCCTTTCTGTTGTCATAATGATACTTGTCTAAAAATTACATGTACATGGTAAGACTAGTGATATACTCGTAAGTTTTATCGTACGAATGTCGGTGCATTGGTCAAAAAGCAAAATTGATTGGCAGCCCGGTAGGTTCTAAAAACCGGATTGTAAGTGTTAGATAAATCTGAATTCACGGAGGGTGTGACTGTAATACACTGAAATGACTGACGTATTGAAGTTTCCAAAGTAATTCCATGATGTGCAATAAGCATTTTAATTCCAACAAGTCTTAGTATCTTAAATCTTCTTGATCCTAAGACTTGTCCTAAAATGAAATTACATATGATCTCTCGCATTACATCGCTATAATGAGGACTGCTAGTCTGTAGTAGGTGTGAACTGGGCAAGACCTGAATTTCGTATCTAGGTGTATTGTTGCCTAACCCTCTTGTCTTCATGGGGCATGTATAAAACCCTAGGTAATTTACTTCGACTCGCTTGCCAGAGACAGCCCTCCCCTCCACAGCACAAACTTTCTTCAAACAGTTGTTGTTAACAGGGGGCTCTGCTTCACAACACCCCCCGGCAAACATTGTCTTGTCTTCTGTACGTTAAAGTAACTCCAATGTTGGTTTTAATCCAGGTCTTCAATGCGCATGTGTTATGGCAGCGTCCAGGATTAACTTTTAATTCCCCTTCGGATCAGGCTTTACTGTCGTGCTTAGTTTAATCCTGCACACGCGTAGAACGAGCTAGTTAATCCTACCAATCCTGTATTCGTACGTAATGAAGTCCTCGGAGAGTTCTACTGAGGCTCTATAAAAATGGTCTTAGGTAGTGTTCTATATAATTGTAGAACCATTATGGAGGCTATGCAAAAAGGGAGGGTGATGAGAAGCTCCTCTTACATAGTGTAAAAATGTATTGAATCCATGTAGATTTTATCGCGTAAATGGGATTTTTTAGTGTTGGCTTCTGTAAAAATTAAAACAAAAATGAACACCTCCATTATATGGAATTTCTGCTGAAACGCCTTTACTCCAACTTTACCATTGTCAGGGAGTCCGATAAAAGCCTAGATTTCGGGTAAAAAAGCCTTAGCGGTTTTGATGACCAATTTGCAAATGATAATGGATAAGTCAGATCGCATTATTGTGCAAGTTTTCGCATCATAATGGGGGGGGGGGGAGCCCTTGAGCTGAATAGTGTACACCCCCTGACCCTGAGTGTGTTGATATCGATATATCGAAGTAGCTTTGTGGCGCGTAACGGCCCCTTGAAGTGTTCGTTAACCCTTCACTTTATCGGATTGCCATTTTTTTTTTTACAATACCATTTTTTGTACACTAATTTACGATACAGGTTCCTTAATCACGTTCAATCTTTTGGAACATACCCCGTTTAATAAGCATTTTATTTACTTCGTAGAAATCCATTCTACGTGCGAGGTACATATTGTACTGTACCCCATAGGATTACCATATAGACGAGGGGGGGGGGAAGGGGGATAATACCTACCGTGATAACGTTTAATACGGCGGCGTTTCAGAGGAGGGGGAGTGCGTTCAGTTCGTTCAGCTCCCTCGACTTTTAACCTTATCTACTCCTCTCTCTCTCTCTCTCTCTCTCTCTCTCTCTCTCTCTCTCTCTCTCTCTCTGTGTGTGAAGAAAAAAAAAATAGTTTTGTAATTTTTTTTTTTTTTTTTTAGTCAAGTAGGTGTCCAGCAAAATCGACAAGACGAAACAAAACGTCGTGAACACGGGTAAACTGGGCAGCCGGAGGTGTGGGGAGGGGGGGAGGGGGGGGAGGAAGGACTGAAATCAGGACAGCGAGCTCTTGGTTCTACGACGCAAATCTACGTCTTCGACAGCTGTTCCTTTCCACTTTCTTGTGAATAGTTAATGAGGGTTAGTCTTATTAATCGGAAAGAGATAACGAGATTATATTTTGTCTCGCCTGGAGTTTCCCCGGTCTTGTACCCCCCCCCCCCCACCGGAGATTTTCTTTAATCCATTTTCCTCCTTCACTCGATATTAATTTTTTTTTCCTTGTATCTTCCTCTATCTTACTGTATGTGGTAATTTTGAATGGCCTTTTATGTAGGAAAAAAAACGATAAGGAACTTGTAAAAGAACGTTTATATGGCGTTTCTTCCGGTGAAAGTTAGCCTCCTGATGATGATCTTCTCTCTCCTACAGAAGAGTTCCTGGCATTTGCAAGCAATTAGCTCTCTACCTTGATTGATTAAAAGAAATGGGCAGCCACAACTACCAAGACACACCAATGCCACGTCGTCATGTAAGTTTTTTTTTTTTTTTTTTTTATAAATTGTAGCCATAATTATGACGCTGCATGTAAATTATCTGTATGTTAATTAAGATACCTGGCCAAATGACGAACGTGTTGGTAAATAGAACTAATCGACTTCATGCAAGATTCTGGACCAGGGTTGGCGGTCATCTTAGATTGGGGAAATGATCTTGGAAGATTTTAGAATATATTTTATTTAGTAAATTTAGAAACTATCGCTTTCAACCTGCCTAACCTTGCTCTTTCATCCATTTAATATCCGCTCTTAACATCATCTTTTTAGTCAAATACAAAATATCAGTCTAATGTAATCCATAATAAGCAATTATTTATTTATTTAGATCGAAGTTTGCAGGTTAACCCCTTGGTGCCGGGTATGACGTGTACGTATGTGCTATGCCCACCATGAGTACTTGTTTGATTGTTGTTACGCATAGATGGCAACACTTGTATTAAACCACCAATGAGCCAGTTACGAGTACCGCCCGTCTCGCCCGTTTACCCGTTTCTTTGATTTACGAAATATATTACGTTATCTTATTTTGCTGTTACTAATGTTAAAAAAAATATATAAAAATTATAATGTTTATGATGAAAATAACATCATCGATTTTCATAGCACTAGTGAAAAATACGTTTTTCCCGCCATTTCAAATCGGGCGCTAGCAGAGCCATCTATCAGCAGACATTTCACGAAAAACATAGAAAGTGGGCACTGCATTTTCTCCATTTTTTTGTTCATTGGCAGTCTCTCCTGGACGTCTCTCTCGCTCCAAAATGGCGGCACAGGAGTCATTCGTTGGGGCTCGTCAATGTGTCTGGATTTTCGCCAGGATTAAGGTATTTAATTTTTCCTTATGGTGTGATAAGCGAGTATATAATAAAAAAAAAAAAAAAAAATCCGACTCTAAAATCCGGAATTTGGGAACCTTTTTTTTTTTTAATTACGTGTTCGTGTTAAAAAAAATATTAATTAAAAGAATCTGAATAAATCTTGTAATGGAATAAAAAAGTAAGTGAATTTTAAACCTGTAACACCACCTTTCCTTTTTTTTAAAATCTTTCCAAAACAGTCAGATGAGCACGAGTGGCAGCCAGAGAACGCCCGCCACCCCTTGCTTCGTCAGTCCTCGAATGGCCTTTTCTACGCAGTTCTCTTACGATTCTCCCATCCAGGCGAGTTTTTGAGGATTTTTTTTTTTTCCTTTTGAGGGGGGGGGGGGCAAAGGGGGAGAGGAGGGAGGGTTGAGAGAATTGTGTGTGTGTGTGGGGTGGGGGGGGGGGTTGAGAGAATCCGTTTCATATACGAGAATTGTTTGTATTGGGTAGGGGTGAATTTGAATATTTTTACTTATTTATTTTTGTATGTTTAGAATGATTATTATTAAGATTTGGGTCATTTTTGGGTATCGTATCCGTTGCATAATCTCGAATGCATAAAACGGCAATTTTAATTTTTATCTGAATCCTTAATTTTATTATGCATCGTAGCCAAGATACTACAGGCATCTTGGCTACGATTCCTTCCTTCCTTCCTTCTTTCCTTCGCTGTCTATATTATCACCCCCTTCCCCATGCAGATCCTGACTTCCAGCAGCCCTGGCGCCCTAACCCCTGCCGCGGTGTCCAAACTGAAGGGGCGGTGTTCCATGAAGAGGCTGTCCCGTCGCTGGAAGATCGTGTTGATCATGTTCTTCACGGCTCTCGGCACGGGCCTCTTCATAAGCAGGAAGATGAGCGGTACGTGGCTGGAAGTGTTGTGGGTTTGTGTGAAGGTGGGGGGTGGGGGAGTGGGAAGTGGGGCTGTATTAACGTTGTATATTGTGGGGAGTATGGGTGGAATTTTGTGGGTTTTGGGTGGGGGGGGAATGGGGCCGTATTATCGTTATGGGCATCGTGTGGACTCGTGAATTTAGAGTATAGTATGGGGGGCTGGATGTGGGATAAATAGTTTTGAGGAGGTACTTGGCATGTTGACGTTCATGTAATGTGTTAAATTTGCTAGCTAATAAAGGTTATCGTAATAACCCAAAACCTATTTTTTTTTCTTACTAGTCATCGGCTACATGTGAGGTCACAATTAAAGTCTTAATTCTATTTTTGATAACCTTGTAACATTTATTTTTCTTGCCACGAAGAAATCTCCAGTATGCACAAGAGTTCTTGTGAAGACGGTGAACACGGCGAACACGGCTGTGAAACGGACCACCGCCATCCAGGACTCGCCGAGGCAAGTCTATAATCGCCTAAATATCCTGGACTAGAATCTAATTTCATTTTGACGTTGTATATAGAAGTGAATGCACCTTTTATTCTAAAAGCAAACTCGATATAATTCTTTCTCTCTCTCTCCTCCATCAGCGATTCATGGACGTAGTTTCCATCGACAAAGTCCACGAGCACTTCCACACCCTGGCGAGAGGCCTGCGCAGGAACCTGGAAGGGAAGGAGCAGCAGCAGCAGGGAGAACCGGCAGGAGAGGAACAAGAGGCTGAAAAAGAGGATCAGACGCTCGAGGAGACTTTGTTCGACACGGAGACCACCGCAGAAGACTTGGAAGAACAAGAACAAGAAAAAGAGCAAAAGGAACTAGAGGATGAACGGGCGTTGGGCGTTCCCGACAGGCACCCAAGAGGTCTCGGAGAACAGACCACGTACGGGACGAGAAATTCTGAAGGGGGACGAAAGGTGGTCGAATCCGAGTACCAAGAGGACGGGGAAGACGCCCCTCCCGCGGGCCAAAGGGCGTCGCACCTCGCACCCCAGCAGAGGCAGCCGGAGGTGACCTACAGGCGAACAGGAAGTCCCCCAAAGAAGATAGTAGCAGCGCAGACCAGGGCGCAGGGAAAGCCTTCGTCTGCCTGGTCTCAACAGCTGAACCAACAGCAGCAGAAACGGAACCACCAGCAGAACTACCAGCAGAACCAGCAACAGAACCTTGGCCAGCGGAGAAGCGAGAGCCATCGAGGACAAAGACCACCTCAAGACGGCCGCAGGTTCGCGCAGGGCAAGCGACCGCTGAGGACCCCGCCTGGCGTTAATCCTAGAAGATATGAAATGTGATAATGTTGCTCAAGGAAACCCTGTAAGATTTTACGTAAGGTAACTTATCTTTTTAAAGATGATGAACATAGGCTGTGGAGAGTACTGTAATTTTTAATATTCCGATAGGTGATTTTATAAATTTTTAATAAGACGATATTTGCCTAATATAATAAATAATTAAGGTAATGAGTTGTTAATGTTCCTTTTTTATAAAAAAAGCAAATGATGGATTTAAAGACTTCTTCTGCCGATTATAATGTTTAAAGTATGAAGAAATGCACTAGTTTTTTAAAAAATGAAATGGATATTACTTTGAGGGTATTTAAAGAACCATCGTTTTCGAAATCTTGCCTTTTAAAAACTACAGACATGAGCCATCCTTTTAGTTTCTTGAAGAAAGCTTCGTCATATACAAATATCTCGCATAGAAGTGATTTCTAACTAATTTAGCTTTGTATTTTGAGACTTTAGTTTTGTATTCCATAGCCACCATTTTTTATACATATATATTTTTAAGGAATATGTAAACCTGTTTTTTTTTTTTTTTTTTTTTTTTGGGGGGGGGGGGAGGGGGATGGATTTCGAAGAACACGGTTTTCAGATTTTCAAAATCAGTGGTTTAGGTTTTTGTAAGGAGTGCGAATTATAAGACTTTGCATCTACCCGTTATGATGGGAGAACGCTTGTTTGCGTTCGTAGGGTGAGAAGGTATTCGAACTCGCTTTTCATTTTATATGCAGATCTAGTGATGACAAGGTAATGACTTAGAATACTGACAGGGCAGGAAGCTTTGACCAATATTCAATTGTATAAAAGCGGTTGGAAGAGGTGGCAGGTGCATTAACTTTGAACCCAGTTTTGTTCTAAGAATGAAGGCCTGTCCACATAAGTGGGTATGATCGGGGGAAATGGTAATGGTGACGCCACAGGCGACAAAAGGACGGGGGGGGGGGGTACTTGTTAGTCCGCTTGTGACGTAATTTTTATTCGTACCTACCGATCCCCCACCCCTCCATCCCCGTTGTGGTTGGTTGGTGCTGCGCAGAAGTTGCCTGAATACCCCCCACCCCCACCCCCATTTAACACTTCACTCAAACTCGAATGGCCTCGGCAACTAATGTAACGGCATCTCTATTACTCGACCTCGTTTGCAGACTTAGACGGTGCAAAATGGAGCATCTTTCTTCTCCCACAACGATCTTCAGTTTAGACTAAACCATTCCAATCTTAACTGCCCCCTATGGCAGTGGCCATTAATCCATTTTAGGCACGGAACCCCCATTAATAATCTAAAAGCTATGGACCCCCTTCCCCAGAAATGTTCACAAACCCAATCAACTTATTTTTTTAATACTGTCAAGCTACTGTGTGACCTTTTTGATGTCCGATACATTTTAAACCAATGACCATTCCCGAAATCCACACAAACCTCGACTTGCTTGATCCCCCCCAAAAAAATTCTTGCCTGGGGGGGGAGGGCTTTGTCCCTAAGCCCCACCCAATGTATACGCTAAGGACCTTGTATGTTGACAAGGCAGAAGACCAATCTTGACCTCCCCCCTCCCCCCTTTTGCTTAATCCTACTTTAACCTATTCACTCCTCGCCTCCCTTACCCATCTTTACCCTTCCCAATGCTACTGTAGACTGGTTGACGTATAGCAGCTCATCACTAACTCCACACCCTCCCTACCCCTTCTAATATACTTTCCTATAGTGTTACATAACCTTAGATGTCTAGCACATTCATTTATGCTTTTAAACATTAACCAGTAAACATTGCTCAACAGTTTAAACCTACCCACGAATTAACTTGTATAAACTTAAATTCAGTGAACTATTCCAGTTTATTATCCATCCATCACACTAAGGCAAACCTTAAATTGCACAGACTTTGGGCTAAAACTTGTATAACAGACTGTTGGCATTTCAGAAAGTTTTCTTAGTAGCTGAGCGACATGTGTGTGTGTGGGGAAGGGGGGGGAGGGCAAGGACAGGGTATTATGTGCAGATAGACTCGTTTATCGAAATCCAGGTAAACATGATAAAGCGGCATCTTCACACAAGCGGGTATAATCGGTATATGAAAGGTAGTCGGGTATTGAGTGTAGACTAGTTTATCGAAATCCAGGCGGCATATTCACCCAAGTGGCTATAATCGGCAGATTCCTGATAGGGTGACCCAGGCGAACAGGTAGTAGAGTAATTTCCCCATTTTCGGAGTATATGTAGCGACTTGCGTAAAACTTCCAATTGGTAGCCAGATGTTTGCGGCCCTGATCAATCCTGTCGGGGAAAAGGCTTTCGCAATCTATGCAAGACACTTTGTTAAGACTGCAGAACGTAGGGCATAATAGCCAGTATCCTTTGCCATTGGCTCTTCACGCCCGAGTCTAGAATGGAAGTCCTAGAAATCCTATAAAATTCTGTTTAGAGGGTGGGAAAAAATTAAATAGATTATAAAGGTATTGAAAAGATCCTACCCCCCCCCCCCTTTTTTTCAGAAGGATGTTGGATTATGAAAGTGTGCCGAATATATTCTTTTGGGCGAAATAGAAACTGGAATGATTGATTTATGCCCAGCAACCCCCCCCCCCTATCCCTTACTCGTTGTTGCCTTGGGGGGGGGGGTGCTTAGGAAGAAGAGACCGAGGCCCAATGTAGGTATCAACCTCGCCTCCACTAACTTTGCCTGATATTTTCTCCTTTTCCCTTTACCCTCATCACCATAATCTGCCCACTCTTAATCGTTAACTCAATTTTTGCCGTTTTCGCCATAAGACATTATCACAATGCTCCCTGCTCCCTTACCTCCTTCCCTTTCTAACAACCTTTTAGCTTCTACTATACCTCCATCAATCCCCCCCCCCCCTACCCCTTGCACCACCATATTACCCTCTAGTACTGTTCAGCCTGCAACTTTACCCAAAGCATTATCTTGTTCCTAACCCTTTTTCGCTACTTTACTTTATCATGGTGCTATATGACCATTTATGCCATATAGCACTTTCTTACCTCGAGGCCTTGCCCCCAAGCCTCACGCTATCGCTATACTTTGAATACGCCGCTAATGACCTTAGATATTGACGCAGCAGAATATTTTTTAATAAATAAAATAAATTACGTCCAGCATAAATATCAAACCAATAACCTGCAGATAAGTCAGATTACCTAGAGGTCTGTCCACACAGGGCAGGGGCGGGCAGGGGCGGGCAGGGGCGGGCACGAATCGCCATGATACTTTGTCATAATGCTGTGTGACTTTGTGTCTCGTACTTTTTTGACCTTTGGCCCTTCTGAAAATCCAGACATCACCCCCCCCCACCCCACCCCTAAAAAAAAAGCTTCCTTACCCGGAGGTTTCGCCCCCAAGCACCGCTCTATCGCTATATTTGGAATGCACCGCTAAAGACCCCAGATGACGCGGCAGAATTTTCAGTAAATAAATAAATACCTCGCCACAGTTCGGTCTGCCTTGTGCCCATCACCTGTGTGGCTAACAATAGGTGTGTCCGGTGGTAGTCGATGGCCAGGGAACTACTCGATCTGATAACGCTGCTAAACAATCGGGAAATATCCGTTCGTGGCCATTACCCGCCCTGGACCGCCCCCTTCGTCTGGATGAGGCCGAAGACGAGAGCGAAAGGCTGTTCGGCCGGGGCATAATAGCAATAGTGGGAGGCGCTATTATATAAACACTCGTTTCGATACAAAATAACCTGCATAAGCGAGAAAATGCCCAAAGCCAGAGGTTGTCTTGAGTCGTCCGCAGAGCACTTAAACACCGTATCAAACTCAATAATTCCTACCCTATGCCACGCTCTTCTCTATATATTCCTCGTACAACGTTCCTCTGTCCGTCGCACGCATTCTGCTATCCTCCCCACGCTTTACTGAACTCCGTATCCCTGCCCCATCCCCCCTCCCCTCACCCCTCCTCTCTTCCCTGATTCCCAAACCTGTAGACATCCTCACTAAATTTCCCACTTTTTTTCATGCCTACTTTTTCTCTTTCTTCTTACGCATAGATGCCTTCCATTTGATCTGATCACCTTCTGTCCTTAACCGTTTCTTCCCTTAAAAGAATAGTTTTTTTCGTTGGGTGAGAATTATAATAACTAATGTCTTAAATGAGATCAAGCCTAAAGAAACAGACCTAAAAAAATCATGAATATTTAGAAACAAAGAAAAACAAGGGAAGAGAAAAACGTATCTGTTGACAATGATACAAGAATTAAATCAAAATATGATCGGTACAATAAAAAAATGACATGTTAGAAATGTTAATGATAAATTGTTAATGAGGTACCAGAAATAATAGGGAAAAAAATTGTTTGGAAGGCCTTAAAGTAAAATAAAACTTTTTTTCGTATTTTAAATAACAAATCAAAGCGGAAATATAAGGAAAGTTGAATAGATATGATAAAATAGCCATTAAAAGTTGAGGCAACAATAACATAGTCAAATGGTGGACTTTTTCATACTCATTTACATTATTATTAGGACAAAACTACTAAGGCAATCCAACACACGCAATCTACCTAATAAAAAAGATACATATGCCATACCTTTTGTAATAATATTTTTCCACACTCGTCTTAAATCTCCATTCTCTTAGACGATTCTTCAAGTGTCATTTGTCTGCAATTGCAACAATCCTGAACAGACATCAATAAAGCCCACCAACTTTGCACTACTCTCCTCTTTCCAATTCTCACGAGCACTAACTATTCACGAAGAACCAAACACGTATATATAAGCCAAGTACCGGTACTCCACATCGTCATTGGACAGATAAAAAGTAAAAAAATTAAATGTAATTCATGTTTCGTCACCGATTAAGACTGATAAGAGCCTCACTGCCATTGTCAAGGTGCAACGATTCGTCTTTATCTTCATTCACGGGCCTGCCTGCTTGCTTGCTTTTAAGAATATGACATATACGTATATATGTATATATTCATGTATATGTATGTACGTGCATCTGTCTGCATTCGTATATGTATATGCCTGCATCCGTATACATATGTATCTATGTGCATATAAATGCACACAGATACATATGTATAAGCATACCTATGTATATGTATGTATAAATATGTCATTTTGACAACGGCGTATCTACTTATATGCATACATATGTATACACATGATACACATTTAATAATGCTGCCATCCTGAAAAAAGT